TCACGCTAAAATTCGATGCTATGATCAAGTCCAAGTGTACGTCAGAAAAGTCGGGGCAGCTATAACACGTTTCTCAGCGAACTTCCGGAACGGAAACCACCAACACTTTGTCAGCAGTACACTTTATTCCGAAAGATTCGGTTTCGCTTTAACACTCTCATTAAGCCTTCTTGCCTTTGTTTACAGCTCGTTGCGAGCCTGAAATAGTGGAAATAATAACCTGGAAATTGCTTGAAACGATTCATTTTCTGGAAGAACAGACCTTAGCATGAATCCATATTAATCAACTAAACTAGTGCTATAGGACGCTGAATTCTGATTTACGACAAGCCTTTACTGCTACTGATTTGTCAAAGCATGAGAGCTGCTAGTGGTGAGCACAGAGCAGTGCGGAGTAGCACTGCCGCCATGTGAATTTCGAGGAATCGGCTTCGCCAGTGGGACAGTCAATCCTTCTGCGATTCGTTCACTCATTTCACTGCCAAACTGGTGTACCAGCATATCCCAAGGAATCATAGCCACCACCGGTTTGCCTCTAAGCAATTCTCGAATGAGCGGACCATCCACAGCCTTGCCATCGGGTAGTTGCTGTTGGCATATGCTATCACTAGGAATAGATCCAACTGCTTCCCTGTCTCAGAACGAGTGAATACGAAGGGAGCTTTGAGTGGAAACAGTGCAGCCGTTTATGCATTATGAAAGGAATCCGGAAGATCGCGAATTCTGCTGGTTGCTTTTTATGCATTTTTTGCAGCTATGCAGTGCAGAAAACGCATGTTGACGAGAGGTTGTCTGTGTGTGTGTTTGTGTGTGTGTGTCTGTGTGTGCGCTGCGCGTCTGTACCGATTTTTCATCTCGAGACCTACAAAAGCTACGGAACTGAAACTTGAGGAACTTAATCTACATACGTGTACTGATCCCCACCTCTGGAATGGGCGCTCTTACCCGCGTGGTAGCCACGTACGAATCCGTGAAAATTTTTCGCGGGTAAGTCGCTAACTCGGGGATCAGAAAAGTTAGAAAACTGAAACTTTACAGGGACGTTCCTTGCCCACGTATGTCAATGCGCTTCAAGCCACTCCCAGGGTATGCGTGGTACCCACGTGCGGGTCCGTGAAAGTTCTTCGCGGGTAAGTCGGTACCTCGGGAATCAGAAAAGCCAGAAAGCTGAAATTTTACGGGGACGTTACCTGCCTTAGTAAGCCTTAATGAGCTTAAAACCGGTCACCGGGTACGCGTGGTACCCGCGTACTGGCCCGTGAAACTTTTTCGTAGGTAAATCGCTAACTCGAGAACCTAAAAAGCTAGAAGACTGCAATTTTAAGGGGATGTTCCCCGTCCACGTAACTCAACAGCTCAAACCCATGCATCGGGCATGCGTAGTACGGGCCCGCGAAAGTTTTTTTTTTCGAGTAAGCTGCTAATTCAGGAGCCAGGAAAGCTAGAAAGCTGAAATCTTAAGGGGTGTTTCCTGACAGTTCTGGCGGCCAGTGTTAATTTGTTTAGCTAGAAACATTTGCTGAAAAAACCGGTGCTGGTAGCAACAAAAACTGTGGGGAACTATACAAAAAACGCATCTTCGCACGGGCAGCCCGTGCGTTAGCCAATTATTTCTAACTGTTGACGGTTAACCACGGAATGTGATACTGCATTTCCTGATACTAAATGTATGGATTTTCTTATAATTATGAACGAATAACAATTCTGTAGAAATCGCACGCATGCGCTTCCATGACGCATTTTCTGCACTCCACATGTTACAGAGGAACCGTACTGAGCGATAATTTCGTACGTAC